TACATATATATATACACACACACACATATATATTTATACATTTATATATATATAGTGGCAAGGGATATAAAGTCCAGCACCAGCTATTATTTAACTAGGGCTACATTTTATAAATGACCCTTTCTTGAAAATAACAATTTATAACATTGAAACTTTCAAAAAAAGGAAGTGACACTTTTTTTCTTTTTTTAGAAGTGACCTTTTCTAACATGGATAGTTCTTATCTCTCTTATCTTGTCTTCTCTTCTCCCGTGGGTTGTAAGCTTCATAAGGGCCCAGACATTTGTCTGTTTTATTCACTGCTGCTTTCCTCGGCACTTGGAACAATGGCAGGCATATGGTAGGTGCCTAACAAGGAGTTGTCCAATGGCTGAGCAGTCTTGCCTGACAGGCAGACCAGTGAGCACCTTGACGTTTCAGCACCAGGTATCTGGACAGCTCCCGGCTGGCTGGGCCCTTGGAGGGAGGCCACAGCAGGACGACAGGAAAAGGCTTAAAAGTGAGCCACGCTAACACCCCCCCTCCCCCAGCCCTCGCGAAAGCTTGGAGCGTCCCGACCCCCGCTGTGTGGTCACTTTTGCTGGGTCTACAGCCCTGTCCACTCCGTTGTCTGCAGACTCCCCTAGTATTCCTTTTCCTTTTGACTTCAGCAATTATTTGTACATATTTATGAAGATTGCTTCTCAGCCTTTTGGCTAAGATCAAGTGTATCTATCTATGAAGAACTGAGCATTTCTCTTTCTCCTTGTTTCTTTTTCCCTAAATTGTACCCCACATTCTCAGTCTCTCTTTCCCTGTCCTTTCTCCACTTCTTTCCCCTTCCTCTCTCTTTTCCTTCTCCCTGTATCACATCCCTCCTCCTTTCCCCACAATTTCTCTGTCCTTATCTCTCCCCTCCTCCTCCCTCTCCTTAGAGATGTCCTATTTTTTGCAGGGCTTGATTTATAGTAAAGGGAGGCAGCCTCCCTTCCTCTATTCCCTTTATGAAGGAAACAGCAAAAACTTAACTACGTGCAGTTTTGCATAAGTCTCCTCCTCCTAGTGTCCACCCACAGGTTAACCCCCAGGAGACTGGCCCACAGCTGATGAAAGCCTGCAGCAGGCCTGTCTGCCTGCCCACTTGTCTATGCCCTGGGGTGGCACCAGTTGGGAAGCTGAATTCTGCAGCAAAGGTCATGGGCTGGTGGGTGGATTTACTGATCCACCCTATCACCCCCGCTCCAGTTCCCTTTGTGGGTAATCATGAATGAATGATTTGGGGCTGTGATTCCTGAGAATAGGAGTGAGGTGATTCATTGATCTTTCCTAAGGAACGAGTTCTAGCAATTAGGTGAGGTTTGCTGTGTTACACATGCTCTAGGGCTGTCATATTCTTGTTACCTAGAGCAAGAGGCTAAGCAACAATAGGAATGAGGGCTCTCAGCCAAGGAGGGGAGGAGGTGCCTTTGATTTTACCCCGACCCTTCTTATCCCTGTAACTCTATGATGTAGATAGATACTATCTCCACTTCATGGTCTGGGAATTGGAGGCTCAGAGGTTGAGTGACTTGCCCCAGGATACACAGCTAGAAAGTGGTGGAGCTGGGATTGGAACTCAGGTCTAATGGATTCCATTGCAGCAGGTATACTGAACTATAGGATTGTCCTACCACCTTTCACATTCATGGGAAGGCCCAACTAGGTTCCATAGGACGACTGCTTTAGAAATGGAACCAACACTTTCCCAGTTACATCACAGCTGGTTGGGGCTTTGCTCTGGGGGTTCCTTCTGTCACCATGGTGGAAGCAAGGGGTGTTGAGAACTGGCATTGTGTCTGGGGGAGGAGGCTTTCCAGGCAGTATAGTCAGGAAGTGAAAATGACAGCCAACTCAGCTTTCTGGATGACCTGACCTGAGGAGACACTGATAAGTAGAAAGTAGCCATGGAACCATGATTGATCTTGAGTAATCCAGAAACCAATTTTGGCAACCTCCGTGTGGTGAGCACCTGCCTGCTCTGCTGACCACCTACATATGTGGTGTCTGCAACAACTCTGCTAGATCTGCAGGGTATCTTCTAGTACAGAGTAGGACATCTAGGTCAGAGAAAGAAAGTGACCTGCCAAGGTCACAGAGCAAGGTAGTGGAGGGGCTGTGGCTCACACCTAGGCCTCCTGTACTTCCAGTTTCCACAATGGTTCTCAGGGGGAAAAAAAGGTTTCAGTGATGTTTTATTTCTTTATTCCAGAGGAGAAAGCAGTACATAGAATAATTTTAGGAATTTATATGTCAATGAGTTTAAATTGGGGGTTTGAGGGCTTGAGGGGAGAACTATCAGTTGAATAAAAGGTCATTCCTGGGGCACCTGGGTGGCTCAGTCAGTTAAATGTCTGCCTTCAACTCAGGTCATGATCCCAGGGTCCTGGGATTGAGCCCCGAATCGGGCTCCCTGCTTGGTGGGGATCCTGCTTCTCCCTCTCCCTCTACCTGCCACTGCCCCTGCTTGTGCTCTCCACCACCCCCCATCAAATAAATAAATAAAATCTTTAAAAAAAAAAAAGGTCATTCCTGATGGTCAGTGTTGGCAGGTAAATGAGGCATTCCTGGGCTTTATAAGAGGCTCCTGCAAGTGTGCATGGCCCTGGGCTTGGTGGACATGAAGCTTGCCTTACTTGGGGGCAGCCTCACCCTGGCCTGTCGCTCTGCAGTCAGGCTGTGTGAAGACACAAGGGACCACCCAAGAGCAGCAAATGCCAGCAGGGAGGAGACATGCCAGGAAAGTTTCTGAAACGTCTTCCTCAGTCCTGAGCCAGACGCCTACCATAGACAGAACTGCCAGGCACCTGTAATAGACAGGAGCCCAGACTGGACCTGGACTGGGGACTCAGTCACACTTACCAGGGTGCCTGACTGTTTTCTGGCTTCTGGGGAAGTTAGTGGTGCAAGACGGAGGAGACGGAGCTGAACTTGAGGTCTTTGCTGTCTTAGGGGGAGTTAGTGGAGCTAATGTGCTTTTTATTAAAATTTTAGAAATAATTCTGCCTCAGTGCTGGTCACCAATGCATATTCCCAGGTCCACCCAGATCCTCAAGCCAGAATCTCTGGTGGAGGGGCCTGGGGAGGTGCATTCTGAGCCAGTGTCCCTAGAGCAGCACTACCTTCAAATCTGTTCTCAGCCAACCCTCCAAGTTCATTGATTGAGCTCCTGCTCTTGCCTTTTACACACATTCTCTCATTTAGGTGTCACATCCATTCTAAGAAGCCCTGGTAAGAAAATCAAGGCCCAGAGACGTTAAAGCACTCACCAGGCACAAAATTTCGCAGCCTGGCTCTAGAAAGCCACCTTCCTGTCTTTGTTCATGACTGGATCTCTCCCAGGAATGCCTTTGTCCTTCTCCATGTGCCTTGTGCCCTGCACATTACTTAAGTGTATGTCCTAGGTCCTAGATGATGGCATGTGCTGGGGTCCATGGTGCCTGTGCCTTCTGACCTGTGGGTGCAGGGAATGGTCTTTGCACCTGAGGCTCAGGATGTGTGCAATGGGCAAACCAACTGTGGGGACATAAACACGTGAGGCACAGATAGAAGGACACAAGAATGTGCCCTGCTGGTGGCTTTGGAGGGGGCAGGACTGGATAGAATGGAAAGAGAGAACTCTTATGCACCCCCCTGCCCACATCTCTCTCTCCCCAAATCTCTTCTGCCTTCCAGGGCTGCCTCCATGAAATTCTTGATTCTGCCATATTCTCTTTCACCCTGAGCTTCTTGTCTGAAACCCTTTCCCTCACTCCAATATTCACTCTCCCCCCCCGCCTTCACATAACTCCTTCCTATCCTTCAGCTACTTCATATTACTCACTCCTTCAGGTACTTTCCCTAACCCCCAAAGTTAACTGATTCCTTTAGGCTCCCACAGCCCCTCTGTCTTTCTGACATTCTAGCCCTAACTCTATTCTAAAGTGCTATTTATTTGTTCCTAATGGATCTGTGAGCTCCAACAAGGGCAAGAGCCATCTCTTATTCAATGTTGCTTCCCTAAGATCTGGTACCAGAATGTTAGCTCAGTGAAATTTGTTGTATGAATAAATGCCAATTGGTGGTGACTTCCTATGATTTCTACTCCACCTTATGCATCTAATTATAATCCATCTTAGGGCGCCTGGGTGGCTCCGTCGGTTGAGCATCTGCCTTTGGCTCAGGTCATGATCTCAGGGTCCTGGGATTGCGTCGGGCTCCCTGCTCATCAGGGAGTCTGCTTCTCCCTCTCCCTCTGTGTGCTCATGCTCTCTCTCTCAAACAAATAAATCTTTGAAAAAAAAAAATCCATCTTGGATTGCATTTCACAAGCCAGAATCCAAGGAAGCCAGGCTAAAGGGCCTCAGAGAAAGGAGGAGGAAACTGAGGCCCAAGTGGTCAGTGGCAGGTCCGACTCCCAGCCAGTCGTTTCACTGCAGCTGCCAGCTGCCTTGTTTCTGGTTCTGCGGTTGGAGGTCCTTGAGGGCAGGAACCAAGTCTTGGACATTATTTCCTGGCTTGGCAGGACACTTTGTCTCTTACCACAAACATTGCCATTTACCGGGTGCTTACAAGGTGTCAAGCCCTTTATATGTATTTTTCCCACAGTTTGCAACTCTCACAATATACACAGGGAAGGAAGGTACAATTATCCCCATTTAGAGATGAACAAACTGAGGCAAGGTGAGTAACTGCATATTTATCCATGTGTCTTCTAGTTCCTTTCATAAATTTATCCAGGTTCCACTGAAGGCTCACCAAACTTGTCATCAAACCCATTTTCCGGAGCAAGACACCAAGGCCCCAGGACTACAGAGCCATTTCCTGTGCCTCCAGAATGCTTGGCCCACAATCCGACTTGAAATCTATTTATTTGACAGAGAGAGACACAGAGAGAGAGGGAACACAAGCAGGGGGAGTGGGAATCGCGCTGGCAACAGCGCCCCCTGCAGGCGGCGATGGCCACGCCTACGTCACGTTCAGCCCCGCCCCTCGGCGCCGGAAACGTCCGAACAGCGTCCGAAGGTTATCGAGCGCTCCTCCAAAGGTCCGGGCTCCGAGAAGCCGGGCGCACAGCGTTCAGCCCGGACCCGACTTCCCGGCAGCCTTAGTCGCCGCGGCATCGGGTTAGAGGCATCCCCGGGGACCGCGGGAAGGTGGAGGCGGCCTTCGCTGCCGTCGTCTCCTTCGTCGTGAGTAAAGCCCAGACAGACGCCGCGGGGCATCCGGGAGGGCCCGACGCCCACCCGGGAGCGGCGGAGGCGGGGCTCTGGGAGGGGCTCCTGCGGCAGAGGCTCTTCCCTGGGGGACAGTGCCGCAAGCGAGGACTCCGTGCATCAAGCCCTGGGCATGTGTCTGTGCGTCTTTGAGCAGCAACCTCCCCCTCCTTAGACCTCAGTTTCTGCACCTGTAAAATGAGGGCTCGCGACATTTCCGTAACTGCAAAAACCGGGATTTCGTCCATCATTTTCAGAATTCCCCTCCCGCAGGCAAGCATGAGAAATCAGAGCTAGGTCAGGCTCTCCCGTGTGGACGTGCAGAGCTCTGGGATCTCCTTCCCTTGCTGCGTTAGTACTCCTGAGACTGGAGAGTCCTAGCAGTTGGGGACTAGCCCCTTCCTGGTGGACCAGGCGCCCCGCAGCCTAGGATGTGACAAAGATGAGACATGGCCATGCCAATAACAAGTAACGGTGCTAGCTCAGATTTATTGAGCACTTACTGTGTGCCTGGCTTTACATGAAGCCCAACACATGTGTTATTTCCAGCTCACCACAGCCCTGTCTGGTAGGTACTGTTCTTGCCGTCCCCAGTTGACTGAGGAGGTGTTTGAGGCCCAGAATCACAGAATAGTAACCAGTCCAAGGTTTCCCAGCTAAGAAGTAGCTGAAGCAGCAGTCCACAGCCTTACCCACTACACTGGAGAAATGTTTGACCTAGAAGACAGAATGGCAGACAGGGAAAATGACAAGGGCCTACCAGTATTAATAATATATACCCTGAATTGAGCACTAAATATGTGTTGGGTGCTGGTCTAAGGGCCAACATCCTTTATACTGCTGACAGTGACCCTACACTATAGGTTTTGTTATTTCTACTTCACAGATGAGGCTCAGAGAGGTCACCTCATACGTCTCAGGTCGAACTGCTACTAAAAAATTGGGTTCATCAGTGGTGCATTCTGCCTGCCTGTATATCGCTCTTAGGAAGACCCCACTCTTTTTTTTTTTTTAAGATATAATTATTTATTTGACAGAGAGAGACACAGCGAGAGAGGGAACACAAGCAGGGGGAGCGGGAGAGGGAGAAGCAGGCTTCCCGCTGAGCAGGGAGCCCATTACAGGGCTCGGATCCCAGGATCCTGGGATCATGACCTGAGCCGAAGGCAGATGCTTAACAACTGACCCCACTCTTTAAAAAAAAAAAAAAAAAAAAAGGAAGACCTGACTCTTCTCTGTGTCTCAGTTTTCCCCTTCTGTAAAATGGGAGGCTTGGGCCAGAGGACCCTGAACATTGTTTCCTGAGCTCACATTCTTTGATTTTTAGGTAGCATTGACCTGATGTCTGGAGTCCTGGGTTTGTTCCCAATTATCTGTGACTTGGGAATGCCTTGGCCAAGTCCCCTGTATCTCTGAGCCTCAATTTACCCCCTTCATAAAATGTAGAGACTAGACCATCCTAATTGCAATGGCACCCTCTGGCTTTAATTTTTTTTTTTTTTAAGATTTTATCTATTTATTTGACAGAGAGAGACACAGCGAGAGAAGGAACGCAAGCAGGGGGAGTGGGAGAGGGAGAAGCAGGCTTCCCGCGGAGCAGGGAGCCCAGTGCGGGGCTGGATCCCAGGACCCTGGGATCATGACCTGAGCTGAAGGCAGACGCTTAACGCCTGAGCCACCCAGGCGCCCCTGGCTTTAATATTTTATGACTGCGGAGGAAGAGACAAGTTGAGGTTCAGCAAACCTTACATCCCCTGAGAATTTCTAGTGAATGTGAATCTGCCCTCTCACTCAGAACATCCCTGGTGGTAGGCTTCCAAGAACAGATACTCTACATGGGTGAAGGGGAGCAGCACTCTCCAGAAGATCAGCAGTAACTGCTGGGGGAGGCTTACTCCTCCAGTGGTTCAGAGCTCACCGCTCAGGTCAGACCAACCCAAGGCTGAATGCTGGCCCTCCCACTTCCCAGCGGGGCACCTTGAACAGTCGACCTCTCCCGTCTGTGCCTCAGTTTCTACATCTGTAAAATGGGGTGCTAATAATACCAGCTTCGTTTGAGATCTAGTGGAAAACATATGCAAAAAACCTAACACCATTTCTGGCCTAGAAACCCCTCAATAAACACAACTGTTATTGATTATGTCTGCAGCACCATTCTGGGGACTAGGAGAGTTCCTGAGCTTTGGACGCTGCCACCCTCTACCCCCTGGCACCAAGGTGTTGCTGGGAATGAGGGAGGAGAAGCAGGGTCCTGCTGAGTCAGCAGGGGACCCAGATAAGAGAAACAGGCAGCCCCCACCCCTGAGGTGGCTGGCGTAGGCTGTCATGCCTGTTGGTGGCTGAAGTAGCATTAACGGGCATTCCTGCACGTCCCTGGTTGGCAGCAGCCCCTGGGGTGGCACAGAGGCCATCTGAGGACAGAAGAGGCAGAGGAATTGTGTCACGACCACTGTATCATGTGCCAGGGGCTGCAGCAACGTGCAGGCTCATGGTTCCAGATGAGACAGCTGAAGTGCGTGCCGTGCCTCAGGCTTTTATGAAGCGCATTCACATCTGTAGTGTCCCCAGGACAGGGCTGGGTGACATTGGACAGGATTTTCCACCTGCAGCACAGAGACGCTATTCCTGGGTGCCTGTGGGTGAGCTGCCGGGGGTCAGGAGCCACCAGAACTGTGCGCAGGGTTGTGTGAGTGATTCTCCAAGAGGTGCGAGATCCCCAAAATGTCAGAAGTTCTAGGGTTAGGGGTCAGAAGAACCCTGATGCTAGTAAATGGCTTCGTGTGACTGGGCCGGTAGCTGAACCGCCCACCCCCACCCCTTAAACTCTCTCCCTTCCTTCCCTTCTTTCATCATTCAGTCAACACACATTTCTTGAGGCTTGTTCCAGGCCCAGGCCTGCACTCAGGAATCCCAGCTCCTCTTACCATGAACAAATAAGGAGCCAATTTTATAAGGGCTGCTAGAAGGGCAAGTCCAGCGGCTGTGGGAGTCACAAATTGGGACTCCTGACCCAGCGTGTGTTTGGGGGGCAAGTTGGGGAGACAGGAGGGGAGTCTTGGTTCAGTGTCTGTAGCCTTGGGCAGATCACTAGCCTTTCTAAGCCTCAGTTTCCCCTCTTTCCCATAGGCCCGATGGCGCCACTTTCAGGACGTGAAAGGGGGGTGATTTTCCAGGCCTTGGCCACCACTTGAGACACTGTGAGATCAGACTCGGTTTTGCTGGGTACAGACGCGAGGTTGGATGCTTCTCCACTTAGAGAAGGGCGGGGAGATGGGATGTTCCCTCTGTCTGCCCCCTGGTGGGGCTGGCTTCATGTGTCCACTGATCTTGAGTACTGAGTGCAGCTTGCACTTAAGGCACTGGGAAGAGGCTAGAGCAGGGCCTGCAACAGACAGAGCCCTGCTGGCCTGGACCTCAGAGCCTGAGAGGAGGGGCACACAAGCGTCTCCAGGCTGGGATGGAGCAGGGCGTCATGTTGTCATTCTGGGCCTCTGTTATCTGTGAAATGGGGAAAAAACAGTGTCCCCCGGGGTGGGGCTGGACTGAGGCTCACAGTGACTGGCCCAGCATCTACACGTAATACATGGGAACCATTACTATTATTGTTGATTTCGTTAATATTAGGATCATCAAGTGCCTTTTGTCACCTCATCTCAGCTATCTTGTCACACAGTGAATGGTGTCAGGGCTCCATCTCCCCTGTCCTCTTCCCAGACCATCAACTCCCCCCCCGCCTGCCCCCCAGGGCAGGGCCTGGCTGCCCCTTCCCGGCGCTGCCCTTTATAGACCCAGGCCTGGGGCCTGAAGAAGCTTCTCCTCTGTGCGGCCCCAAACCCCCCTTCTTGCCCCCTTTCTCTAGGACCCTTTCTCTGGGCCTGCGGGTCTGGCCGAGCAGAGAACTGAAGCCCTGCTCCTGACCTCTCCTCCCGCCTAGCTGCTGGGTAAGGTCACCGGGCCACCCCCCAGGAGGCCCTTCTGGGCATTCTGCTCTCACTGCGGCTGGAGCTGGATCTAGAGCAGGCTGAGTCCGACTCAGCATCTCCTCCCACGTCCCTCCCTCTGCGGAGCTGTGAGCTGGGCTGGGGACTCAGCCAGGGCCGCAGCAGCGTCTGCGGCATCCCTGTTGCTGTGGGGGGCAGAGGGCACAGATAGAGGGGCGTGCTTTCCCCTGATGGGTGCTAGTCCCCGCTCTGGACCCACAGGACCGCCTTTCAGCTCCCTTCGAGCTCTTTCCACCAAAACTGCCTGCCAACCACTCCTTCTCCCTTTTTTCCTGGTTCCCATTTGCGGACAGCGTGTCCAGCCTGCTGGGCTTCCCTGGGCACCTTGGATACTGGGGCACGTTGTGTATTGAGAGGAAGGACAAGGTCCCACCACAGCCCTACCGTGAATGGGCTGAGCAGCTCAGAGTGGCTTACGGAATCTCTCTTGCTCTCAGTTCCCCCATTTGTACAGTGTGAATGACCTTGACGGTGTCAACACTGCCATCCATCCTTCTGATTTCCCTTAATCTCTCTCCGACCGTGAATCTTTCACCTTGGAATTGGGTCTCCTGTGTGTCTGAACAGGGGCCTCAGCAACCAGGCCAGGCAAACAAGAGAGAGCTAAGATAGGCTGGGTGATGGGGGTAGTGGAGAAGCCCAGCTCTGGAGCCTGCGACTCCCCTTTCCCCCCAGGCCAGTCCTCACCTCCCTGAACCTTGGTCTCTTCATCCGTAAGATCGGGAGAGTCAGACCTGAGTGTTTGGAGGTGGACCCCTGTGTCAGACAGAGCACTAGCAGGTGGCCATCAACAGGGAGGGGTCTCCTTCCCCTTTGAGGTCCAGCCTAGCCCCCCAAGCCTGGGGCTCTCAAGTTGAGGTCCCTGCAGACAGTGTCAGGGATGGGGGATGAACTAGCACGAGGCATGTTGTGGCCGAGATGGTTCCCCGGGGTGGGGGGGGAGCATCTCTCCCTTCAGGCCGTCTGTGTGATCCC